CAAGCTAGAGGGAGCCTCCTGTTGAGTTTAAAGGGTCAGCCGGCGCTACACCAAAGAGCATGCTATTGCGTATGCAGCAGGCATGAGGAAAGCGCCAAGCATCCAGCCAGCTCTAAACAGGCATCCGGCACGACTGTGTGTATATGGGTTGAAGTCTAGCCTTGCCGCTTGATTTAACCGACTGGGCCATCATCACTAAAGGTGCATCAAACTGCCTGGGTACCTCAACAATTTCTCTTGCTTTCTTTCCTATGGGTAGAGTTTGAAGTCTTGCCGCATGTACATAGGTTTAAGCCTAGCCGAATGTCTGACGGCCATTCATAGTCCAGTACCACTCGCAAAAAGGGGGCATGGTCACTCTGGGTCGGTATACGCCTGCTCGATGGCCAACTGTCCGCCTGGTTCAGGGCAATCACCATAGTGATTGATTGACTTGGAAACCAATCATACTCTCTAAATTGTCAAAAATTTCCAAGTCAATCAATTTACCTGTGAAACTAGGCGCACATCCGTCTAGGGGCAAATAAAGGCAAAAAAAAAAAATAATCGTCTGTTCCAATGGCCGAATGGTATGTTAACAACCTAATAAGACCGACGGCCGCATGCTAAGGTCAACAGCCGCATGCTAAGGCCGATGGCCGCATGCTAAGGCTGACAGCTGCATGCTAAGGTTGACAACCGCATGCTAAGGCCGATGGCCGCATGCTAAGGCCGACGGCCGCATGATATTTGAAATCGTCTACTCCAACATGAGTACACATAAGCTAAGTCATAAAACTTAGCAGCTAAGCGTTGTTCCTTTTAGGACAACCTAATAAGGCCGACGGCCGCATGCTAAGGTCGACAGCCGCATGCTAAGGCCGACGGATGCATGATATTTGAAATTTTCTATTCCAACATGAGTAGACATAAGCTAAGTCTTAAAACTTAACAGCTAAGCGTTATTCCTTTTAGGACAACCTAATAAGGCCGACGGCCGCATGCTAAGGCCGACGGGCTCATGATATTTGAAATGGTCTACTGTAACATGAGTAGAAATAAGCTAAGTCTTGAAACTTGGTAGCTAAGCGTTGTTCCTTTTAGGATAACCTAATAAGGCCGACGGCCGCATGCTAAGGCCGATGGCCGCATGATATTTGAAATCGTCTACTCCATCATGAGTAGATATAAGCTAAGTCTAAACAACTTGGCGGCTATGTGTTGTTCCTTTTAGAACAACCAAATGAGGCCAATGGCCGGATGAGCAACTTGAGGCCAATGGCCGGATGATCAACTTGAGGCCAACGGCCGGATGATCTTAGTCAGGCCTATGGCCTGACGATCAAAATGAGGCCTATGGCCATATATTCTTAATTTATAAGACAATGTGTTTGTCCCTAACATGAGCAGGCGTCCGGCGACATCCATTTGGGTGAATTCGTCGCAAAGAGCATCTCTCATTTGGGTGGCACATTGCTTTATAAACTAATACAAACGGCCCTACCGACTGTCAAAAAAGACAAGCTCGCAGTCGTTTGAATTGATCAAATGAGACAAGGATAACAAAGACTACTGACTGTTCTAAAAACATGCGGTAGCCTATAATATCTAAGTCGGATGCCGACTGTCGTTGCTCAGGGGAAACATTGTCAGAAAAATTTGAGGATATAAGCTAAGTTCCATGCTTAGCTGCTAATTAAGTAATAAGCTAAGTCTAAAGCTTAGCACATGTGAGGAAACAACATGCGGCTAACAGCCGTCTACTTCTTCTATTTACTCAAAACAAGGTGACAAAGATTGACAAAGATTAACCTAAATAACCTAAAATGGACCTAAACGATGCAAACGAAGCCGCCTGTCCTTTTGATAAACAGACGGCACTCGGCCACTATTCCTACTTAGGTTGGGGAAACCAAGAAAGTTAAAAGCTACCACCTGTAAGATTACAGGCATCTGCTATCTTGGTTAGATATTCCGTTTGGTGCCTGCTATTTTCCAAGTATCATACAAATGGATAATCTAGATTAACAAATTAAGCTAAGTCCAAAAACTTAGCAGCTAAGCGTTGTTCCAACCTAAAGAGGCCAATGGCCGGATAATATTGAGCGCTTACCCCCCTACTTGATAGTCGACAGTCCACCTGATCTAGGGTTATCAATATAGTGGGGTTAAAAGCAATAAGAGTCGACATCTGTCTACTTTAGCGGCAATCATTATTATGATTGATTAACTTTGAAAATGTCATACCGTTCAAGGTATCAAAATTTTCCAAGTTAATCAAGTCCCTCTTTTATTGAACTAGACAAATGCCGACCAAAGAGGCAAGGGTCTCATATTTGAAAGGACCAATCCCTCTTAAAAGAGAGATTACTCCTTCCGAGGGGCTAATGTTCGGGGTAAAAATACCCTTGACAAATGGAACAATGCTAATGCGACACGTGGTCCTAAGCTCAGCGCTCAATGATCCAATTAGAGCATGACACGTGTCATTCAAAGGGGAAAACAGGCTTTAAGCCCATAACCCTATAAAACCGTAAAACGGTGGGAAGCCCATCAACTTAGGTTAAATAACCTAAGAGGCACCTATCCCAAGACACTATAAATACTGATCATTTACATCAGTTAGAGGGGAACTCAATTGAATACACATTCAATCCACACAAACTAGAGAGTGAAACACTCAATGATTCAGGCTGTCTCAGACAGCCGGATGATCACTCCTCTCCTAAAAGGAGCCTGATCCCCCTTTACATTCCACACTTTTTACATCCGAACACGTTCTAACTTGATCGTCGGAGGCGAAACTCCCACCCCCGGGAGTCTCTGTTGTTTTGCAAGTACAGGCGCGTGGGTCCAGTCTTGGTGTTGTAACTCTCCCGTAGGACACATAAAAAACCCCGAAACAGCTGTCTAGTGGCCTGACAGTGAGACCGGCTTTATTTATTGGTGATATGATATTAGATTTATTTTAAAAAATACAAACAAACCGTGCATCGCACCGGTTTTATCTATTATCAATTATTTGAAAAGCAAAGGGGTACCCCATGAATTTCATCAAATTATTGAGGTACATGGTGCAAAATTAGTTAAGTAATCATTTATAATAATTAAAATAAGATATTTATATTGTATAAATTAAATACTTTTTAAAATACCCAAAAGTACGGGACATTAAAGCATCACATAGAACAATAATCAATCCAAGATCCTAGATAGGTTGATAGGGGTATTAAAAAATTGGTATGGATTGGAGATTTGGATTAGATCAGACTGAATTGAAGAGAACCAGACTAGTTTTTGCTTTGAAAAATATGATTTTCCCGGCCTCCTATCAATTTCAATTAAAAGTACTATAAAATTGACCTTATAAAAAATTCTAAATGATTCATTTCACCTTTAATATGTTGGGTATAAATTTATAATATGAGTTATTCCGTATTTTTTTTAATCATAATCTCAAAAAGACGTTAAACAATTAGGGTTTTTTTTTCCTAAATTTAAAATAAAATAAAATTATGTGATACAAGTACTATTTCATAATAAAAAAAAACTTGAACAACAGAAGAAAAAAAAACGGTCAAACCTAGCTTGCATTGGTTTGTGTTTTGGATCAAACCAGTTTTATCAGTATGGTTCGAGTGCGGTCCTAGACTCCTAGCAAAACTACTCTTGACTCCAAGCCTTGAATTCAAACTTCTAATCTTCAGTCCGATTTGATCCAATTCGGTTCGGTCTGATCTGATGTTTCGCGTTTATACTTCATCCGCCCAAGTGACTGGTGACCTGATAAACTGGTAATTTTTTTAGGTTTAATGTACACGTGTCACTCAATGATTGGTAAAAAAACATTAATATTAGTATTATTATTATTATTATTATTATTAATTAATCAAATAAAAAAAAACCCACCAAATCCCCGAGCACCGCCTCAGGCCCTCCTGCCGGCCCCACCCCTACCCCTCCCCTTGCCGCCGCCGGACCTATCTACCCACGGTCGGCGCCGCCCCTATCCTTCTCCCGGCCGTCAGCCCTTTCCTTTCTCCTTAAACTACCATATCCCTAACCCAAAACCGCACAAAACAACCTTAAAAAACCCTCCCCACGCCCGACCATCCCTCCCCCTTTCGAGAGTGGGGGGAGGGGCGGTCGGGCGTGGGGAGGGGAGGGTTTTTTAAGGTTTTATTGTGGGGTTTTAGGTTGGGAAATGGTAGTTCAAGGGGAAGAAAGAGTGTGGTTGGGGCCAGCGCCGACGCCGGGGGAGAGTGTCTGGGCGGCGGGCGACGTCTGGGAGGCAGAGGGTTGGGTTGGGCGTTGTGTGGCAGTGGGGGTGGCTGGGTTGAAGGCTGGTGGTTTTTTTTTTAATTTATTTTTTATTTTATTTATTTTTTTAACCAATCGTAGGATGACACGTGTCCGGTAACTTGTAATAACAAGTTAGATGACCAGTTGGGACTGTTTTGGGCGGATGGAGTGTAAAGTTGGGGTTATTTTGGGCGGACGGAGCCAAATTTGGATTAATCATGGCAAATTTTTCTAAATAAATTGACTCAAAATCAGTTGCCCTACATTTGTTTAAAAGACACTTTGGCCAACTAATTTCATTTTTATCATTGATTCAAGGCATCTCATATTGCTATTAGAGGACTTTCTTTGCAAATTGTGGGTTAGTAGGTGAACGAAGCTATAAGTTGACTAACTTTAGGTTTTAAAAATTAGAAAAAATTATTTCCTAAGGAAAAAAATAGCAAAATTAAGATACATGATTTATTAGGGATATTTGGTACATTATTCATAAACCTCAAGGACATTTGGTGAGTTTTAAAAAAGAAAGGGGTATCTCGTGAATTATGTTAAACCCTAGGGGTATACCTGGTGAAAAATTTGTTATTTTAATTATTTATAGAATAATTACATAAACGAGCTAATAATTATTTCAAGTATAGATATTCAATAGATATTTAATAGAAAGTATGTATTTTAATTCGTTACATTTTTTTTTAACCGAAAGCAAAAGCATTTTATTAAACTTCAACGTGGCTTAAATCAGCCATAACAAACTCCGTTACATCACTAGGATATTCCTCTAGCCATACTCTAAGTTTATAAAATTGGTTACACGCCTTTGCTAAGCCATGAGCTACCCGGTTTCCCTCCTTTTTTACAAAAGAGAAAGCCACACACTCACACAAATGGACTAGTGCTAGAATATCATTGATAATCTTCCCAAAGGGAGTAGGGGGAACATCACCTTTCTTCAAGTGATTGTATAATTTCATGCAATCTGTCTCTAAGCAAAGCCGCAAGAAACCCGCCTCCATTGCGATGTGTAAAGCATGTCTCATAGCCAACGCTTCCGCTACATCCACATCAAAACCCCCTTCCATCTTGAGGTAAGTTGCAGCCACCATATCTCCCACATAATCTCTCATCACTCCATCCAAACCCACCTCATTAGGCGAGAGGATAGCTGCATCAGAGTTTACTTTGATCGTTCCCACTATTGGCGGCTTCCACCTAGTCTCGAGCTTCATGGCAGGGATACTCACATTGCTTACCTCCTTTGCTAACTCATACTCACCCACTAAAGTTACTGCTTTGCGTATCACATCAGCCCCTTCTATCCTCTTCTTCTCAAAATTCCATCTATTTCGTCTTAGCCACACCCCCCACGCAATACACCAAAAAAACCCCCACCAATTCAGGTCTTTGATAGCCTTCCAAACCGAGCAACACCACTCTCCAAAGTTCTCCCCTTGAAATTTTTCCACATCCAACCTCAAAGGAGACGTATACCATATGATCTTGGCCTCATTGCATCGTATCAACATATGGAGAATATTCTCCCTTGCTTCACCACACATGGGGCACATTGAATCAGTATTTACACCTCTCCACACTAGATTATCACAACAAGAAATTCCATCTCTAGATCATCTCCACGCAAACAGCTTAAGTTTTTGTGGAACCTCCACTTTCCATACCTTTTTTCAGTCACGCATAGCTCCCACATTTGATGAGGAGGCAGTGTCTTGCATTTGTTCCACCGTGACAAGGTTATATGCGCTTCTAATTGAGAATCTACCATCCTTAGTGTGATGCCACATCCACACATCTTTACTATCATACAAAGGAATGGGAATCCTCCGTATCATGATGACTTCCTCCACCGAGAAATGGGTATTAAGGATATTAACATCCCAAGCCCTATCAACCCATAGTTGCCGCACATATACAGGGCATTGGCTTTCCTCCCTTTGGCTCGATATTATCTTGAAATCAGGAAGGTTTGGAACCCACGGATCCCGCCATATGTCAGTTGAAGCACCGTCTCCAATATTCTTTCTAGCACCCTTCAATACAACCTCCCGAGCCCCTAGGATAGATCTCCAAGTATAACTCGAGTTCGCCTTAATTTTTGCCTCCCTAAAAGACGACTTAGGAAAATATTTTCCTTTCAGAACTTTAGTCATAAGAGAATCTTCATTTGTGAGTATACGCCAAGCCTGTTTAGCCAACAGGGCCTTATTAAAATTCTTCAAATTCCTAAAACCAAGCCCCCCATGATCCTTAGAAACATACAACTTCTCCCAAGCAACCCAGCAAATCTTATTTTCCTCCCCCTTTTGTCCCCAAAAAATTTTTCTACATAGTCTTTCCACCACCTCAAGAATACTAGCCGGAATAAAAAAAACATTGCATTGCATAAGTCGGAATTGCTTGAGCGTTGATTTAATTAGTACCTCTTTCCCGGATTGAGATAGATACCTCTCTTTCCACCCTCTGAGTTTCTTCCAGACTCGATCTTGAATATTTTGGAAAATCTGTTTTTTTTTTATCCACCAATGTACGTTGGTAAACCAAGATACTTTTCATGTCTCTCGACAGCGTTAAAGGATAACTTCATCTGAAGCATATTCTTCCGTTCCTGCTCAATGTTTCAGCTAAAAGACACCTCTGATTTATCCATATTCAATTTCTCCCCCGAAGCCATCTCATAAGTAGAAAGAATCCCAAGAACATTCTCCACTTCTTCCTCCGTCACTCTCACAAAAAGGAGGCTGTCATCTGCAAAGAAAAGATGAGAAATCGGTTTTACATGTCTCCCAATCTTCACCCCATGAATGAGCTTCTTCTCTTCAACATCCCAAAGCAATGTCGACAAGCCCTCTGCACACAAAATAAACAAAAAGGGAGATATTGGGCCTCCTTGTCAAAGTCCCCGAGTAGACTTGAATTTCCTCGAAGGCTGCCTATTCACAAGAACATCAAAAGATGTAGTGCTCACACAATTAATCACCAAACCTACAAAGCTTTCCGGCATGCCCAACTTCAATATCATTTTCTGTAAAAAAATTCATTCAACCCTGTCATAAGCCTTGCTCATATCAAGCTTGAGCCCAAGGTAACCCTTCTTCCCTTTCTTCTTCTTCCGGAGGTAATGAAAGCACTCATAGGCCACCAAAACATTATTAGTGATTAGCCGTCCCGGAACAAAACCACTCTGTGACTCATGAATAATATACGGGAGGACTAATTTTAATCTGTTAGCTAGCACTTTAGTCACAATTTTGTACAGCACATTACACAAGATGATAGGTCTAAAATCCACTGGTGACTCACACTCTTTTTTTTTTGGAATTAAAACAATATGAGTTTGATTAATAGAACCTATTTCCCCATTGTTATTTAAAATATCTAACACTCTCTTAATTACATCATTCCCAACTATATCCCAGAATTTTTGGAAAAAAATTGCACATACCGTTGGGCCCGGGGGCCTTTGTAGGATGCATTTGAAAGAGTGCAACTCGTACTTCCTCGGCACCGAATGGGGCAGCCAAGCTTGCATACTGTCTTTCATCAATGGTCGGGACTACCTTCTCAATCACGGGCTCTACTTCAATGCTGCTACTTCTCGCAAACAAGTCTTCAAAAAAATTCACAAAGCTCTCGGCAATCTGCTCCTCCTCCATGTACACATTCCCAGCCTCATCTCTAATTTGGGATATGTTATTTCAGGATTCTCTTTGCTTTGCCTTATGATGGAAAAAAGATGTTTTTTTATCCCCATGCTTTAACCACTCTTGCCTACTACGCTGCTTCCAATACATTTCTTCTCTCCTCTCTAGCTCGTCCATGCGCTCATCAATGGCTCTCATTTGGGCTATCACCTCCTCCGTCTGATTCTCTCCCATTAAGAATTTCATTTGAGCCTTTCATGCATTCATTAAGAATTTCATTCATCTCCTTAACGAAATCCCCAAACTTCTCCCTACTCCAAGCGCTAAGCCTTGTAGATGTAAAGGCAATTTTCGAGCACAAGTCACCTTCACGCTCCCAAGCCTGCGAAATGATACTAGCACAAGTCTCATCCCTCAGCCACATCACTTCAAATCTATACAGTTTTTCCTTCTTTTTCTTTTTCTACTTTGGGTTCACGTCTTTAATACAAAGAAGAATGGGTAGATGGTCGGATTTCCTCTTCATAAGGTGTGACACAAAGGATCCCTTAAAGGTGTCTCTCCAAGCTCTGTTTTCCATGAATCTGTCTAGCCTCTCTTGGATATTTTCCACCCTACCCCTATTATTAGACCATGTAATATTATGACCTATAAACCCAAGGTCTTCCAACCAGCAACAATCCATGGTCTTACGCAATATTTCGGCCTCCTCCGTATTAAACTCTTGCCCACCCTGCTTCTCGCCTGAATGAAGCATGAGATTTAAATCCCCTCCGCATAACCATGGATCCTCCCCTACACCCCTTAGGCTTTCCATGAGTACCCCAGTTTTGTGTTTATTTTTGTCATCGGGGTATCCATATATACCAGAGAAGCGCCACTTTCCTTGAAGCCTCGAAACGAACCATGCATCAATATGGTTTACCGAATAGGATTTCACCGTTACCTCCAGACAATCATTCCAAAGCTAGTCCACCCTTTCTTCTTCTGCCTTCCCCCTCACATTCCACTATAAAACAACCACCGAACTTTATTTTCTGCTTTATTTTTTCCATCTCAAAGGATTTCAGTTTTGTTTCCGAAAGGAAAACAATTTGGGGATTCTCAAGAAACACAATGCGTTTTAACACATTAACTGCAGCGATGCTCCCCAAACCCCTGCAGTTCCAAGCTAGAACGTAGCTCATTTATCACCGAGAGCCTTATTGGTGAGGCTCGCCACTCTTTCAGCAAAAACATGAATTACCTTCTTCTTTTTCTCTTGTATTGCATTCCCCAACAACATCTCCTCCCCATCCCCACTCCTTTCGCACTCTTTTCTTTTTTCTCCTGCCATGTTCACCCCACTACTCATACTATGGTCTGTGTCCCTCTGCCTTCTTTTCCATCTTTTCGCATCCCCTCCTCCATCTGCCCCTACTTCTTTTTCACAAATGGTTGTATTCTGAATTGAATTAACATCAACATTACCCCTAAAGATAAAAAATCCTTCTCTGTCTCCTTCCCCTCTGTCTTCGCCATCAGTTTAGGAGCACTTGTAGTCACGCTACAGGGTATCATTATGGCTGCACTACTTTTGTTACCACACTCTCCCTTCACTGTCTCCTCTCCTTCCTCCCTCACAACCTTTCCAGCGTCACCATACTCTTCATTGTTCAACCCAACATCCTCCATCCTATGCGTCACCTCATTAATTTTCTCGTAGCCTTCTTCAGAAGAAGCTTTCTGTTTTGGCTTAGTAATGAACAAGGCTCTCGCGCTCCTCCGACCCTCTCCAGCTCCTCTTCCCCTTATATTTCAGACTATACTTCCACGGAGAAGCTTTCATCCAATCTCCGTAGTGAATTGTTGAATCCTCCTCTTCCCTATACCCTTCGCAATCTTTAAGACCATGCCCTATACGTCCACAGAAATAACAAAATAGCGGTGACTTCTCATATTTTACCTCAAAAAATTCCTCAATTCCCTCTCTTAGCTTTAGCTTCACATGTTTTGCTAAAGGTTTCCTCACATCCACCAATACTCGAATTCTTATCGATTTATCGATGCCCACCCTAGCTTCATGGTCTAATTTCACAAACATACCCAATTTATCTCCAATTTTTTCAATATTATTTGCATTTAACCTACCCTTCAAAGGAAGATTGTACACCCTCACCCACATTGGCAAATAAAAGAGTTGAATGTCAGAAGGTTTTACCGAGTCCGAAGCTTCTCCAAGGAGCAAAGCATATTTGTCAAAGTGCCATGGTTGATCATCTATTACCCTACTTTTATCACGCCAATGGTGGAATAAGAACAAATTCTTTCCAATACTCGTAATATCAACACCATATTTGGGTTGCCATACTCCTTTTATTGTAGCAATGAAAGCATTCACATTGACCTTTCTTTCAGTCCATATCCTCCCTATTAGGGGAAGCTCGACCCTCGCATCTTCGTCCTCCTCTCCTATATCTTCCCACACGATCGCATCATCCCCATCTTCACAATCTTTATTCTTCGAAGCACTACTCTCCCCTCCAGCCTTCTCTTTTATCAATGGAGAAAGATGCTCAGCACCACCAATCGTAATAATATTATTCTTATCGCCCATAATTACCAACACTCTTCGAAACACCAAGCAAAATCTTCCAAACCTACGACTCGACCCAAGATCGAGAAGAAAACTTGATTAACAAGAAACCCTAGTACCAAGACTAGCGAAACCCTCCCAAGGCAAAACCTAGAGGAATATTTTTTTTTTAATTCGTTACTTACACTCACCAAGTAGAGTGAATGTAATAAATAAAAAAGAATATACTACCTTTTTTTAAGTTGCCACTTTATCACGCTTGTCAACGCACTTTTAACAATTAATACCTCAAATTATCAACATTGTAATTATCAATATTGAAAATACCAGGAAA